TTCTTTGCTATATAAGAATCGGGAAACATCTTTTTAAAAAGTTTTCCAGCATGATCGGCTGCTCTGATTGGTAAATTATGCTCTATTAAAAAAGCTGAGTAAAAAGAGTGCCTCAGTATAAAATTTTCTGATCGAGAAATAAAATTGGCTCATTTCTTCTGAAGAAAGGTCTTAATCTTTTATGTATTGACTTATCTTGCCACCTATCACAATTTCAGAATCATCTTTTTTAATCTTAGCTTTATTGAAGTTGATTTCAAAAACTGAACTTGCATTTGCAATACATGCTGGTTTTATAAATCTAGAGAAAATATTGCTAAATAAGTTCATAAGATCTCTCTGGTATATATGAATCAATGGAGCTTGTTGCTGCATCATTGTGTTACATGATTCAAACAATGGGATAACAGACTGTAAAAAGAAAAGATAGAGTTGAGTTACCTTCAAAAATATTCTTTAATCATATGAAAGTTTCTTAAGAGCCATTCTCTTCCTCACAAAAAAATTTCTTTAGGGCATTCCACTTCTCTAAAAAATGATCAATGGTTTTGCCCATTATAGCCACCTTGTAGCCCCATACTTGAGAACCTTGCTGTTTTCGAGGTTACACAGTTCTTCGCAGAACTTTAAAAGCAGAATTCTCTTTGCACTTTCTTCAAATAGTAGTACACATCTATAAAAAAAACTTTCGACATGGAAATTGATCTTTTTTTTTGTAGCATGTTTGGCAGCTAGATGGATTAAGTGGCAAGCACAACCATGAATGATGACATTAGGATTCTTTTTCTTAATAAATGATCCCACTCCTGTATGTTGTCCAAGCATTACCAAAGCATTGTCAGCGCAAAAAGCGATACAGTGTTCCCAGGAAACACTATTTTTTGATAACACACTATCAAAGAGTAAAAAAAATATTTTCACCTGTACCATCTTTGTTCAACTTTGGGAGAGAGAAATGGGTTGTCTTAATTTTATCTTAATTTTTTTTTAAGAAAATAAAAAGAAATATAAAATTTAAAAAAAAAAATACAAACAAAAATTGAAAAAGGAAACAATTTGTCTATTAGTTAGGGCATTTGATTAAATAGTATCCAGAGCTAATTGGTCAAGTTTAGTAGTGGTTGGTGCTCAGCATTGCATAATTTTGTCATTTTTTCATGAAAATTATTTCAGGATTTCCTTGTATTCTTCTAGAAAATTAATCTGGTTGATTGCCTTCTGTTTCAACTTTGGATTATTATAGACTCTTCCAGACTATGAGGAATTCTAGCCTTGGTTGTTTAAAGTGGTAAATGAACATTCTATTGCATAATGCCACACTACTCCTCCACAGGCATATGTGTTGTCAGTAGCCAGGCAGAAGCGTTCTAGATACGCTTTAAAGAGGCCATGCTCTGTAAAGAAGAGGATTAGCTGGCTATTCCATTCTAAAGGTTTGAATGAGACACATGGTAAAATTCTCAAATTAATATTCCTGATTTCGATATGTGATGATGCCTGCCAGTAGAGTTTCCAGTCCTTTTTAATTTGTGTTTTAGATTTAAGCTTAATGAATGAATGAGGAACTTTGAGGTTGAAAAATTGACCCTTATTAATTGCCTCTTTAGCTGAGTTATTAGCTTGTTCATTTCTATCGTTGTTATTATGTGCTTTAATCCATGAGATTTGGAGACCAATAGTATTATTAAGTAGATTTTGGATGTCCTGTATAATCTGATGAGTGGTATTATAATTCTTAAGTGCTATTATTGTTGAAAGGCTGCCTGACCATATTGTAGTTTGGATTGCAATTTTATGTTTTATGGCATGAGTGATGGCTTCCTTTAATGCTTTTGCTTCCGCCTGGAATACATTGTTGTAGGAATTAAGTTACATACAAGAGTAAAAAGTTTGTCACCAGACGAATTGCTGCCATCCGTCGCCAAAATAAACTTTCTGGTTCTCATAATGGCATATAAATCGTTTTGTGTTGTATCTGCTAAACTTTTGCAAATTTCAGTGGGTGTTTTCCTAGCACATTTGCATTTATCAGCAATACCAGAATCTGGGGACATGCGTTTAAATAACAGACCTCCAGATGACGTCATCGGTGAAAAAATTTAAAAATTAGCTATCAGGTTTATTTTCTGGGTAAAATTTATGGAATGAATCTTAAATAAATCATAAACTTATCTAATGGAAAAATCATAAAAGTTTAAGTAGAATATCATTAAAATTATAGAAACTAATACAATGTGGGAAAATGAAAATTATGACAACTTAGCACAACAAATAAGTTTTCAAAATCTTACCGGATATATACTTTATTTCTTTGATTGATTATCAGAGCATGATTTATAGATAACACTGAAATATTTTTCATTGAATTATAAATGAGTAATTGAAATTTCAATGGCCATATTGCCAAACATAAATATTACTCATCTACCAACATAATGAATAAATCTAAACTGAAACTAAAAAAAGGAAAGAAAAAANAGAAATTTAGCCAATTCTAAAAATGTTGGAATATCTTGATTAGTTAAAGATAATTCCCATCTTTGCCTTAGTGTATCATCTAGTTTTCCCAAAATAAAAAATATTAAAATAACATCTACCATAGGATTAACTTCTAACTTTAAAGTTGAAAGAATTCGAATAACTTCATTACACGTATCTAAAATTTCAAATATCGAAACCGCAGAATTAGACTTAATTGTCTTTAGATTAAATAGTTTTGAAATTTGCGCGAACGCTAATTCACGTTTATTATCATATCTCGCAACTAGAGTCTGCCAAGCGTGCTTATAATTTTCATCTGTGAGCGAAAATCCTGAAATAAGCTTGTGTGCAGTACCCTTTAAACTAGCAAACAAATATTGAAATTTTTGAAGTTCTGTTAATTCTGGATTTTTATCTATGGAACTCAAAAACAATTCTTTAAATGACATCCAATTATTGAAATCTCCATAAAAACTCGGTAACTCGAATTTGGGCAACTTTAAACAAGATTAATTTAGTTTCGGTTTCGAATCATCTAGAGAAACGCCGCCATTATTAGTATTGTTTACTTTTGATTTCAATTCCGACATTTCCCGTTCAATATTAATTCGCAACGTATCAATATTAGATGCCAACTCATCAAATTCTTTCATATTGCTTGCCTCTTCCTCATTCTTGCAAGAAACGATAATTTCCGTATGAATCTCATTAAGCTCCACCCATATTTCAATCATTTGAGCCGAAAAAACATCTAATTCCGCTCTTTCTATTTCCCCAGACACAAATTTCGGTTTCAGAATATTATTTATACGTGTTACTTTACCTTTCAAAATACTACGTCTTTTCTTTAAAGTTTCCATTATAATTACAAATACAATATTTAAGATCAAAGATTTATCGACGGACCGAAAAATAAAAACAAAAAACAGCATTAACTAGAGCAATATAAAATACTGTTATCTAGCTCTCTTAATTGAAATCGAAACTACAATTATAAACAATAGCTCAGAATTTTCATTCCGGCCTCGAAGGACCAAAAAATGGAATGAATCTTAAATAAATCATAAACTTATATAATGGAAAAATCATAAAAGTTAATATCAGTAAAATTATAGAAACTAATACAGTGTGGGAAAATGAAAATTATGACAACTTAGCACAACAGATAAGTTTTCAAAATCTTACCGGATATATACTTTATTTCTTTGATTGATTATCAGAGCATGATTTATAGATAACACTGAAATATTTTTCATTGAAATTATAAATGAGTAATTGAAATTTCAATGGCCATATTGCCAAACATAAAAATTACTCATCTACCAACATAATGAATAAATCTAAACTGAAACTAAAAAAAGGAAAGAAAAAATAACAAAAACAAAATATTTCTTGAGTAACAGTACCACTGGCGCCATCTGTTATTGAAATTATAAAAAGAGTCAAAACAATTTATATCTTTGCGGAGTACCCGGATCACATTGGAATTTCATCCGGAAATTCCAGGGTAGCTAACGATATGACGGCTAATATTTGGGCTGATGGTCAGAAGTATGCGACGGAGACGTTAAATATCTTACCATTAAACATTAATGGTTTGCAGAAGAAAACTTCTGAACTAGGGAAAATTCTTCAGGAGAATATTGTGCATCCCCAAGGAAAGACATTTTTTACTGAAGTACAAAACAAGAAAATAATTAAGAAAGTGGCATTTTATATATATGCTTAAATTATTTATATGTTGTGGTGATTCTCGCAAGCAGAATCATAATAATGTTAATGATATTTATAAAATCAAGGGTAAAAATATTAAAATGTAAAATTTTGCTACCACTATCAAAAATTTCAAGAAAAAATTGGCAGTCTGTTAAAGTATATCATAGGAATTCTCGTCCATATGAAGCAAAAAAAAATGAAAAAAGGCACATTAGGGGTCACAATTATTAACATGAAAAAGTTTGCAAATATTTTCAAAGTCTGATCAATTCATAAGAAAGAGAAAGAAAGGATTAAAAACTGTCTAAAACTGTTCATGTCTCTGGTTCATGAACCACAGGTTAAGAAACTCTGATATACGGGGATTGAAAAAAAGTATTTAGATGCTACTATTCGAGTAGGTCCCTTTCAGTGATGTTTTTTTTAAAAAAGTTCCAAGAGGGTCGCTATCGGGACGGAAATCACCCCAAATATAATTAGGATATGAGCACTAATAAAAATTGTTTCTTCCTATGATTGAAAGTTCATATATATATATATAAACTTTCAAAAATAGGTATAAATTTTTTTATTAGTGCACATATCCTAACGATATTATAATTGTGGTTGAATGAATTGTGAAAACATTGGATAGAATAGTGTGAAAAAAAGCTTTTTGCATAATTCGTGACAAAACCGACAAGACCTTTAAGGGCTTTTAAAAAACAAAAATAAGCACCTTTAAGTACTTTTTAAAAATGCTATGCACCCTGTAAAACAGTTCTGTTTCTTGGATATTTACTTATAAGTATTAAAAAACTCACTTTTCTATAAATGCTAGACAGGCTGTTTTGGAGGCTGCTGTTGTATTTCTATTTTTTCTACGGTTAAATTGGGATTCATGAGAGTGGCTTCGTGAATTGCTTCAGCCAGTGCCTGATCATGATCTATGGGATCACCATCACTGTGAATTGTTATTTTCTTTTCTACTCTAGTCTCTATCACACCATCTTTCTCAGTTTTGTACTGCAAATTAAAAATGTTTTTTATTTCACTAAAAATTTCAAATACAGTAATAATATCGAAAACATTAAAAAAAAACATGCTTGTAACTTTATGTAAATTATAATCAGCGATTGCGTCATAACTTCTATCACATAACAAAATAAATACTGTCTAGGAATTATGCTGTAAGAAAGTAAAAATCTACAAATCAAGATATTAAGAGGACGCCATACTGCGGAAAAAAATTTTTTTCGTAAATTCTTTTCCTCCTTTATAATTAAATTACAAATTAAAGTGAAGAAAAAGTGAGTTCCGACAAACCTACAGTAAGCCATGAAGTTTTGAAATACCGAAAAGAAAATTTTAAAATATGTAAATTAAAATAAATTATGAGATGATAACTTAGGATTACGCAACTGAGAAGTTCTCTTTTAATAATTTGTTTGCATTTTTGAAGTATTTTTTTCAGCAATTGAAACTTCATGACTTAATCTATGCATGCTTGAACTTACTTTTTCTTTATTTTAAATTGGTAATGAAGGAGAAAGAGAATTTACGATTTAAAAAAATTTCCGTGGTATGGCGTCCTCTTCAGGTACACAAAAAAAAATTTCATGCCAGGGCTATTTTGGAGGACGAATGCTGATATTGCATAACTAAGATATCTTTGACCCAGTTGTAAAGAGTAGTAGCTACACTGTAGAAAAGCTGTAAGTAAAAAAAAAAAAAGCTTCTTCTTTAAGATAAATCTGGACCCTTAAACAGTAAAAGCCACCAAGAAGGTAATCAATTTGCTTACGTGAGATATTTTGGCTCATAATCCTTATTTCCCAGCAGGCAATCATTTATCTCCAATTGACTATCATTTTCAGGAGCAAAATTTTCTTGTTTGTTAACTTTGCATTAATTTTAGCTTTAAAGTTAAATTAGTCAGCTTTAAAAGGTTTACATATTTCAGATGTTTCTTTTTTCCAAAATAACTTTTTTTCTAATTTAACTTTCAACTCTAGAAGTAAATCATTGATAGCATCGTGTTTAGTACACTCTGATTGCAACATGAGGTTGTATCACCAAAAAGAACCCTCTAATTAAGAGCCTAACACAAATATTTTAAATACATTTTACTTTATTTCTACTAAATTTTTTGTTTTCATATTTTTTTGCGTTTCCTTATTTGATTCTTTCCGCATTCAGTGCAGATGTATGCTCATTGCTGGGAAAGGTTTTAATGGTCTCTCCTAAAGGTATTCTTCAATACAAAATCTGCGGAAAAAATTTGGCTCCTCCTCTCAAAAGTGGTCGCAAATAGAGGTGGTCTTTCCTTGAGGTTTCACTGTATTTGTAATACATGAAAGGTAAGTATTTAAGAGACACCCAGTTATTACAGTCCCTGACCAAATTATAATAATTAAGATTCTATGTAAAACTTTTATTATCAGGTGATACTATACAGCTTTATTGTTTTTACTCGACTGAAACCGGTTTGCACTTGTTTGCGTTCGTGTATCGATGGGTTAACATTGTAATACAATACGTTAAAAATAAATACAAATAGGAAATATATAAAAAAAAATCTCCTGAAGAAAAACCCATTACATGTATGTTTTAATATAAAAGTATTGCTTATAAACTCAAGGCAAAACATGTCATTATTAAAAAACTACAGTGCGTCTAATAATTTTATCTAATTATTATAACATGCAAATATAATATCTGATATAATAAATATTTATATAATATATCGACTAATTTATCCAATCATATAATTTATATTATACATGGACTAATTTGATTAATTGGTACACGAACGTAAACAAGTGCAAACCAGTTTCATTTGCGTAAAAACAACAAAGCTGTATAGTATCACTTGATAATTGAGATTTATACATGGAATGTTACGGTGCGTCTAATAATTAGGCTAGGGACTATACAGGTAAGTATTTGTGATACATTCTGCCATAAGATTAGAAAAGATAATTACAGTGATTGTTTCTACTGTGCGTGTTTTGCTAGATACAGATGAGGTGTTGAGGATGTCTTCTCCCAGTAAAGATGTGTCCAGAGGAGGAGGTAGGGGTGAGGGGTTGGAGGAGCGACCGAAAGAGTTGAGTCCAGGCGATTGGGGGACGTCTGTTGAGTAAAATACTTTGCAAGTTTCTGTCTCCACAACTGGCACATAGGTGGTGCTTTGAGGACTACATGGCTTGCTGTTAGGATTATACACCACAGACTCCGTCTTCACAATAGCAGACTAATAATAGAAAGAAATAAAAAATGTAATGGAAACATAGCCAGATTTTTCAACAAATATAAGCAAATTTTAAGTACTTTTTAAGCACTCAAAAAATATTTTTAATTACTTTCCAAAAAAAAAAATCATTATTAGGATCTGTGCAGGAATAAAAATTATTTTTTTCTATTGTTTAAAGTTCTTAATTTAGAAACATAAAATCAATTAAATTTAGAAACATTTTCAAAAACTTTACATAATCATGATAAAATAACTAGTTCCTGATAAATATTGCAGAGAGAATTGTGAAAAATCATGAATTTTTTTTTCGTAATTTAGAAAGAGAATAGGCACGTGAAAGAAAAAAATCTCTTTTTAAAAGATAGAAGAAAAAAAAGCACTTTTTACAAACCCCAAATAAAAAGAGCACCTTTAAGGGCTTTTAAAAAAACGTAAATCAACACTTTTTAAAAACACTCCGTACCCTGCTAGTTATACCAACTGTAAGCAAAGAGTTAATTATTTCATTTCTGAATTCGCATTTTTAAAAACTGTTCTGGCAATAGTTATTAAGAAAACAGCTACTTGTTGTTTACTGACAATACCTTTTTCAAATTTTTTTCAATATTTTGATTCTAACGTAATTAGCATTTTGTTTTTTTGAGTAGTAAGGCCTAGTTTATATATACTTGCTGCATAGTGTCTAACCTTAAGAAAAATGTTTATAAAAAAGAGCAAAAGCACAATTTTTTGCATGAATAATATATACAGAGCAAAATTTTATGAATGAAATTAGAAAATGCTTCTAATCAATTAAAAATATATTTTGTAACCTGAGTAAAAATGGGAAAATTTCCTAATTCGCAATGAGTAAAATAAACAATACCTGTAACTCTTCAATAGGACAGGCAATAATTTTTGTACTTTTAGAAACTTGCTGTTGAACAGTTTTTTGTTCACTAGTGGTACTGGTTTTTTTCGTAATGCATTTTTCGGGAGAAGTTGGATCATTGGCAGTACTTTCAGTTGTGGTAATAGTTGTGAAAGTAGATGTAGATTCTGATACTATAGGTTGTGTTACAATGGACTAAATAAAAGAAAATTGAACAAAATAAAAGAAATTAATATTTTAAACCAAAAATAACTATAAATGTAATTTCAAAAATTATAAGATTATTATACTAATAAACAAAACATTTTGAAAATACGCCAATGATTCGTCATACAAAATTAATTTCTTCAAGGCATGGATTCGTAAAATTTCTTAAAAAGCTGACACATACCTTATTTTTTAGATATAAACATCTAATCTGATCCTTTAAAAAAAAACAAATGACATGCAGACTATTATTTTTGGACAAGCGAATGACATATTAAAGGAAATAACAAAAATCAAGTTATTATTCAATTTTGTTTTTTTATTAATATTTTTTAAAAATTCTATTCAATGATAGACCAGTTGAATTTAGCTTTAATAAATGTTAAAAAAAAACTGCCTAACATATGCAATTAAAATAGTACAGTACAAAGTAAGCACTTGGGCTTTGTTAAATAATTGAATCCTCAAATGTTGTTTTGGTAACAGAACCGTATTAGTTTTGAATGGTGGCAAATTGATTTGAGGCTGTTATCTATACATCTTCACAAAGAATCCACTGTTTTATTTTTTAGTCATGAACTCAATCATGAGAAAGGGTGTGAAAAAAAACAGCTAAAAATACTTATAGACTCAAATCACGCTTTCTTTCACAAAAAGAAAACATTTTAATTAATTATATAGTTAAAGTTTTTTAACAATGAGAGCCCAACAACTTGCATTTTATGAAGAAAAAAAAAACATAATATTTTGTGCGGGGTTTAGTTTGCTATAATTCTAACAATATTCAATATAAAAAATTCAATTTTTAAGTAATATGAAAATTATTATTTTAAAATTTGAAAAAAAGATTGTTAAAAATTTAACCAGATATGGGTATTTAAATTAGCACTTTTAGAGGAAAATATTATAAAAATTTTTCCTATAATTTTGCAAATAATTGTACAGTAGGGAACCGATTATCCGGGACCATCGCTATTCCGGATAACTGATTTTTCCGGTTTTCTGAATCGCTACAAAAAGCCGTTTTTTTTATTGTTAAACCCAACTAAAAAAAAATATATTAGGAAATAATCTTAAAAAGAAGAAAAAATGATGAAGTAATACAGTAATGATTATTTCTAAAATGATGGTATGGTAAACATCTTTCAAAAAAGAAAGAAAAATCCTAAAATCTTATGAGGAAAAAAATTTTTTTTTTAAAAATGGTGGGAAAATTTATCGAATTTCGTTCCGGTATTTTGGTTTTCTGATTTCCGGATAACGGGTTCTGTACTGTATTTGGTAATTAATGATGAAAGTTTGATTTGTAAATCTTGAAAATTTCTAGCAAAGAAAATTAATCAAATTTTTTACTAACAAAAAAGTATCTTAATGGGCTTTTAAAAATGAAAATCAAAAATAAGCATCTTTAAGTACTTTTTAAAATGCTACACCCCTTGTATAACTAATGCATAAATTTTATTTTTTTCATAGAATTAAGTTGATTTGAAATGAATGAATAACCCAATATGTATTTGGCAGTATTGAGCTTTACTCATAAAATTAATTTAAGTTTATTTGAAAAGAACCTATAACTAATAAACTATATCCTACAAACTACTCATAGTAAATAAACACAAATCTTAACTGATTTCAGCAGTACTTCTTCGTTCACGAGTACCTGCGAGGGATCGAGCGACTGCACGTGGTAAGGTTCGTCTATAACTGAACAGTTAGCTTTTATGGTTATCTTTCGCGGCCCTTTCTGCACAATGGGAGAGGCAGCTCTCGAGATGTCTCTGTCGCTCGGGCTATCGACTTCGTATTCGTTCAGACTACCTTCGGAAGATGCTATGGATTCACGAGATTCGGAGTGGCTTTCCTTAGCAGCTGTGAAATTTTTTATGCCATTTTGAGGAAAAGAAATGCTTTTATTCGAAATCTGTTGGGGTGACTCAGCTGATGATTTGGAATCATTGTGGAACGATAAGTAGGATTGAATTTCTTCCTGTGTTAAGTGCTTACATCCAGATGGTGAGTTGATATTAGAAGTTCCTTGTTCCGTAGGCAATTGTTTCAAGCTTTTATTCAGAGGCCAAAAGTTTTGATAAGGTTCTATCTTAGGTGATATCTTGTGTTTTTTTCCCCATAAATGTTCCACGTGCAACAGAGGTACAAAACACACACAGGCAACAACAAACATGCAAAATTCAGGCAAAAGGGTGATTTCAGAGAAGAACATGCAAATAAATACAAAGAAAATGTTTTAGAAAAAATGAGAGAAAATGTGTTTCAAAAGAAAATAGCAGAGGAACGGCTCAGGGCTGCATGAATATCATGTTTTGCTCATCAAGTGGTTGCCATCGTTATTTGATTGTTCCTGATTACTGAGAAATTTCTCGATGTACAGAGAAATCTGTGGACAAATGTTCTTTATGGTCAGGCTGTAAACTTAATTGCAGTGCAACTTGTTTAACCCTTTGAGCTGTGATTCTCAACCTTTTTTTGTCGCGGCACACTTTTAACAATTTTGAAATTTTACAGCACACAAAGAAACATATAAGATTAAAAGTTGTTTACTTACTTCTAATACCTGAGTAAAATATTTTATGATAATAATTTTGTCTGTAAAATAAAATATGTACAACAAAAACATGTTTATTAAGAGATTAATTAGTCCTTTCGACTTGTACAGTTCTTATTTTGCCTTCTTTCCTTTGCATTGCTTAATAGTTGTTTTGTTTTTTAGTAGTAATAAACAGTTTTTTTGCTAGTTCTCAATAGTTAGCTCGCTTTTTATCCTTATTAATTGTCAGTTTCTTTTTACATTAATTGTCATACTTTGTGATTCCTCGTTAACTTGTTTTGTTTTTTTTGTTGCTAATTATCAATTGTTAATTTGTTTTTATAACTATTAACTGCATAGCTTATTTTAATTGTTAACTTTTATTCCTTTTTTTAATTTAATATTTAGCTTGCTTTCTTTTGTTAATTACAGGGTATCTGCTGCATTTTAGATTTTCAAATTCATGCCTTTCCATGACTAATTCCAAGAATTTTTCGTGACTTAACAAAGTTACAAATTTCTCCAACAAAAACACGACAATAAATTTGAAAAAAGCATTATAATAAAATTAATTGAAATGATAGGTATAACCAAAACTATTTTTCTCTGCATCTTCAAATTTATAGATTTTAAATTTTAGAAACACAGTAAAGAAAGAGTTGAAGCCATAAAATAGCTGAAAAAAATACAAAAGCAAATAATTTTTTCGTCTTTTTTTCTGCAGAATTATGTTCGAAAATACTTTTCTTGTTCGGAAAGGAAGGAAATAAATACTCCTAATTTTTCTGTTCTCATTTCGGAATTAAAAAAAAAAAACGCCAAAGACTGGCTTGCTACAGCCAGAAATTGTAATTGATAAAATCAATTTCGTGGTGGAGGTGGTCAGGTCAATTCCATTTTAAAAATTATATTTTTCGGCAACCTAAATCTATGACTTTCCATGATTAATAAAGCTATAGTAAATGAAATAGCTGAAATATCATCCTTAACTTTGACCATTTTTCAATAGACAAAACTAGGAAACAAAATTCTCAGTATTTTCCCAGTTTGAAAAAAAAAAAAACTCAAACTTTCCTGCATTTTCCCTGTTATATTAGGTGATTTCTAAATTCCCTGAATTTTCTGTGGAGAAATTTCATCCCTGCAAAACTAAAATAACTAATAATATAATTATGTAAAGAAAAAGAACTAGTTATTTTGCAGATAATAACCACTAAGGAGAAAAAGTTTTTGATTGTTTTTGTGTGTGAAATTTAGAAAACTATTGTAATTGTCTTAATTTTGCTCTCCCCCCCCCCAAAAAAAATATTTCTTTTTTGCAACACTTATAAAATTTTCCAATTTTTTTAAAACTATAAAAATAAATATGAGCAACATTACACCTCAAACAAAACATATATCTGCAGCCCTGTTCTTAAGCAAATAAAGTTATATAACAATGTAGATAAGTTAAATAATTAATTCAGAAGGTATTATGAATAGCATAATGTTATTTTATTAATTCATTACAATTTGAATATTTTTAACTTGTTAATCACTATTAATTAGCTTATTACTCAACAATTTTTCCATAGAAATTAGTGCAATATTTTAAAAAATTGTATTACTCATTTTATACACCGCAGTGTTTATAATAAGTTGTGCAAAATTTAAGCATAAATTTATTTATCAAATGAAAACCATTGTATACATTTAAGAAGGCAAGGGAAACTCATTGAAATTTTTATCATGGTTAATGTTTCAATTTACGCATTTGTCCAAGTTAAAATTTAGAAGTAAAAATTATAAATTAGAACAGATTGAACATGAATAAACAAATTAACTAATATCATATTTCTACTTAAACACAATTATATTGAATTATATTAAAGTGGGAAAGAATGAGGGACAAATTAATTTTATTCTTGACTATTTTTCAAACTCTATTTGTAGAATGCTAGTTGAAGCATTTTCAATTAACCACATTTAATTTATAATGTATAAGTTATTTCAGTGTAAATGAACAAAACATAGTGTAAACATAAAGGATTTGAAACACTTCAACAAGTACTAATTGCAATATCATAAATAAACAGAAAATAAACCAGTTGACACATTTTTAAACAAAAATAAATAAAGATATAAATCAAACATAACATAAAACACCCTTACTTTTAAAACAAAGTACGACAAAGCTAAAATCATGCACTAACATTAAACACACAAATAAATGCATTAAACAAATAGGGTGTTATAGTCTAAAGGAGCTATTTTTTATTTATAGAGCGATTCACAATTATATTTGCAGAGAAACATTATTCTATATTAGTTATCAGGTTAGCTTTTATGGTTATCTTTCGCGGCCCTTTCTGCACAATGGGAGAGGCAGCTCTCGAGATGTCTCTGTCGCTCGGGCTATCGACTTCGTATTCGTTCAGACTACCTTCGGAAGATGCTATGGANAGGTTCTGGAGATTGCTGATTGGATCGAAAATGATCCAGGTTAGGCAAAACTGGTATTCCACCATGTGGTCGCTATATATATAAAAAAAGAAGCATACATTTTACTCATGCAGCTTAATTCAGAGTTTTAGCTTTGAAGTGTCTAAGAAAATGTTGCAAAATATAAGCACTGTCAGACCCCGACTTAAGAAATTCTTAGAAACCGAAAATATTATTCGCTAAATCGAGGATAATTCACAATATCAGGAGCAAAACTTTTAAAAAAATTGACTAACCTTAAATCGTAATTAAAAATTGACTAACCTTCAAAAAGTGTTTTTTCGACACCATGAACCGAAGAAATTTACATCTTGTTGCATAAGGTAAGTTTCACAGTTTCCAAAGCATCAGAAAAAGTAACAGTTTTCACTGGAGATTCATAATCATAGATTTCTATATCAGAGTCGTTATTCATTGTTTCCTACCTCTACTTCATTAACTTCATAAAATTTGTTAAAATACAAAATTTGTTAAATAGGGAATTTATTAACCCCTTAACTGCCGAGTAAAATTTACGTGATTCACTCTCCAGTGCCACCGTTTTTCGCTCAAGTGAACTTTCTTAAGCGGTGTTTTGGTGGGGTAAAATGATGCACGCGTTGCAACTTAAAAACAGTTTACTTTTACAAGACAAAAAGGAAAGAAAGAAAATACAAAATTTAATAATAATATACAAAATTAAATAATAAAAATAAAAATAATAAATTAAATAATAAAAATACAATATAAAAGATGTTAAAACTTAGCTGTTGTATGATAAATCCTGAAACATGGTTGTACACATAAACCAACATCACATTCATTGCACTGATAGCGGGATTCACGACGAATTTTTTTCTTGAACAAACAGCACATTTTCGCGATGCATTTGAAGACGTTGATGGATAGAATAAAAAGCGCCAAATACACACGGGAAATAAAATCGAAAAAAGAATAAACCCGACCTTACTCAAAATGAGACAAGCAAACGATTAATACGATATCACTTTTCCATAACATCCTTTTCCCATTCCCCCTCCTCCGAAATTAGTAATATATTTGCAAAGCAAACACTTTCAAGGTCATTTTACTGCATTCTGAAGTAGGGGTGTAGTTCTATTTATAGCAGCGCAATGCAAAGCATCGTACTTCGGGAAAGCGTATATATACGCCTGCGGCAGTTAACACATCGTCTGGCCGAGACGTATATATACGCCCGCGGCAGTTAAGGGGTTCAACCGGGATTCGATTGTAAAAATAGAACATTTTAAATAGTCATATTCATTTTAACCAGGATAATTCTGCCATCCAATTTTTTTACATTCTCAACATATTTTTCTCCAACATAAAAAATTATATTAAACAATTTATTATCTCTATGTGGCTATAAAACTATTAAGAGAAAACAAATTGCACAACATTATAATCTATATTTTAGCAATGTTTGTAATATTTCAGTCATTTGCCCGCAGAGATGCCAACTTTCCAAACTAGCTATCAGTAACCAAAAGTATAACACAAAAATATATACAGATAGTGTTTACCAATCAATTAGTAGAGTTTTTAAATACTACTTAAATAGTAATCAGCAAAATTTTTAAAACTAAGTAGATAAGTGAGGAAAACATTTCAAACAGATTATGGAATCTCTCATAAATTGTCTTTTTAATTACTCAATCCTAATCATAATTATGAAGTTCTAATTACAAATAAATCATAGTAGTTGCCATATCTGTTTTCCCATGTTTTAACACATGCAGGATGTAACTCATCATCCAAATACCTTTACTTTTTTGCATGATTCTAAATTGTACATAATTATTTTACTGTGTTTGCAATTTTTATCTGATATTAAATCTGAATTCAATTCAATCCATAATATTTTATTCAATGGGTAGTTATCATGGAACAATATTAAACTATGATTGTTTGAGCAGTATTAAATTTTATTTTCGTAATTTTTTTTTTTTTTTTTTTTAAAGAATACAAGAATGTTACAGTTGTTAATAATCTGGGTAGCTGCTGACTGGAAGAAATAGCTGAGATTGTTGGTAAAAACAAATGTATTATTAAATAGTTTACAGTTGAGATTACATTAGGATCGTATATATATATATATATATAATATGCAGGATATGGGAAAAAAATGTATTTCTTCATAAGTCTTGTCCCGTATTGGACTGGTCGTGCCGAGTAGAACTCCAAGGTCAGGCATTCGGTTAAGCAGGTCGGTGACCACTTTGATCAGCCTGTGTAGGGACCGAAGGTATGCGGTATCAGTCCTCGTTAAACTGTTCCACCATGAAGTACTCGACTTCTCGAGCAGATCGTCGGGCTACCAAAGCAGGGGAGCCATCCTCAACAGAGGATAAAAATTGCGATGGCATGTCTTCAGATCATCCTCAGGGATATTTCCCAGACCGTCACCAATAGCCCACTGTGCAGCTCTAGAGTGACGTACATAAAATACCTACCTAATTCAAAAGTCCGATTCTTAAACCATGTTAATATTTAATACTAAAACAAACTAATCCAAATTAATTGAATACTTTGAGATTATAGCATAGGAAAAATTCAAACATTAATTCCTTCATCACATCTTTCTTTATCAAGTTTTTATTACAGGAAAGGTTTAACACAGGTTTAAATTACAGGAAAGTTAAATAGTTTTCTTTTTACGACTGTAAGTTAATTTTTATTTTGACTAACATCGGGAAAATTTTATTATGGGTTTTAAGTTGGTATATAGACCAATGATTCGAACCTTTCTGTTAACTGGTTGAGATATTAGTTACCTTATCATAGGATTGCATAAATTCTGGCGTCGACTCGTATGCTTGTATGAAATCTGCAGGAGGAAGAATCGGCCTCTCTTTCCTGAAGGAGTCTCCGACTGGACTTCGAATGGGGTGGGCCAAAGTGTGTCGTTTGTTCTCAGNCATTTATAAAGACATTTATACATTCATAAAGATACAAATATACATTTTACTCATGCAGTTTAATTCAGAGTTTTAGCTACAAAGTGTCTAAGAAAACGTTGCAAAATATAAGCACTGTCGGACCCCGATTTAAGGAATTCATAGGGATCTAAAATATTATTCGCTAAATCGAGGATAATTCACAATATCAGGAGCAAAATTAATAAAAAATTGACTAACCATATGGAATATCTAATAAGCAAATAACCAAAATAAATCATTGGTATCTATACCAACTTAAAAAAGTTAGTATAGATACCAATGATTCAAACCTTTCTGTTAACTGTTTGAGATATTAGTTACCTTATCATAGGATTGCATAAATTCTGGCGTCGACTCGTATGCTTGTATGAAATCTGCAGGAGGAAGAATCGGCCTCTCTTTCCTGAAGGAGTCTCCGACTGGACTTCGAATGGGGTGGGCCAAAGTGTGTCGTTTGTTCTCAGTCCTGGACTCAGACATAGTTCGATTTCTGTAACCCAAAGCTACAGAAGAATGATAAATTTTGTCATGGTACGATTTTTTGTTTTCTAAAAAGATAAAATACTTAAAACAAGAGCTTACCTGACATTCCTCCATCCATACTTCTAGAGGTAAATCTCTTATTGCTCATGGTGCGCTCAAAATGAGGAGGTGGTCGATCAATGAGTGCACTAGCCATACGTGTTTGATACTGTGTACGACCAGAATATCTGAATTTGGACCCAAAGCGAGGTAAGAACAGGTTAGGTTTAGGAGGTGGTTCTGGCATCATCAACCTTCAATTGAGAGAAAAAACAGAGCATGTAGAATAAAATTTATAAGACAGGGTTCCCACAAATTTTATTTTAACTCCAAAAATCAGGGAAAATTGCAATTTTTTTTTTTACAAAAACCTGGAATATTCCTGTATCATAGCTGGAAAATTACAAGTCTTAAAATTGTCAGTAACAGTAATCAGATACTGAGATTCGAGTTAAATAATTCTAACATCGATTACAATTAATTTTTATAAAAATTTCCCATTTTAGTCAAACTGAAATGTTCCCTTCCTCATTTAATAATATCTTTTTACACAGAATATTTAATATTTCACATTACAAATAAAAGAATCAAAGTTTTCTGATGAAAGTATGGTTTCAATTTTCATCGAAATTTACCTGGAGTACCTGGAAAAGACAGGGAATTTTTTTCTGAAATTGAGTGGGAACCCTGATAAAAGCGTAAATAAAGCAAGTGAACTACAACTGTAGTAATTTTAGTAATTCCATTCTAAATAGGGATCTAAACTTCTGAAATTTGGATGTGAAGCATAACTCAGAAAATTTATTTCAACAAGGAAAAATCAATCTAAGTTTATGTAACAAGCATGTGTTTTTAAAACTGAAACAGTAGATGAAAAATATATAGCTTATTTGTTTTTTCATTACTATTTAAAAAAGTATAATACATAAATAATTAAGAAAAGCATGTTTTTTTCCCTTAGTGAATAAAAAAAAAAGTTTAAAAAAAAGTTGTATTCTCACATCATACTTCTTTAGGTTTAACCTTGCTTTTCTCATTAGAAACAACTGTCTTTTATAAGAAATAAAATGTTTAAAAGGAGTTTCAAAAAAGAAAAAAATTTTAATTTTTTTCTGCTTTGACATGCATTTATAATACCTTAATTAAATATACATTTACATCAAAAGAAATATAATATTGATAAAAAATAAAGTTTAGAAAATTTTTTAATTTAAGTTTCGATACTGTTTATCAAATGTATATTGATGATATGTGCTATCAAATGTTTGCATATTGAGGAAAAATAGCAGAAGATAACATAAAAATTTGAAATAAAAACAAAATAATTTTTTTTTTAGGAAAAGTATTTTCAAGTGCCAAATTAAAAAACATTGAAATACCATCTTTTTGAATGAATTCTTTTTGAATTAATATTAACTCAGGAATGTTGAAAATGTTAATGATTGAACTCCGGAACATTGAATGGTTAAGATACTGTCACAATTAATTACAAAATATTTTTTCTTAATTATGCTACTTATTTGTATTAAAGTACTTGTTAAAATGCTTTTAATAATGTCTACATTTATTTATTTTTATTTCAAATGTAACTAAACTTTTTTTCTTTTACTATATGTTTTATTACCAATAATAGAACATATCTTAGTGATTAAACTTTAGAAAAATTGTAACGATAGTTGTAAAAACTGAAATAATCTATAAAAAAGTCATAGATAAATTTTTTTCTAGCTGAAAATGGCCTATTCATAAACTAATTTTAAAAAAATAGCAGAGCAGAAATTTCAAACTATTACCTGAAGAAAGTGTGATGTTCAACACAAACTTTCCAAAGTCTTTTTGAAGCACGATGACTGGGAAGTTTAAAACCAATAGTACTTTCAAACTGCTCAAACTAAATATAAAAGATACATTCAATCATTCATGTGATGATTAAAATAAAAATATGAAATTAATTAACAAGGAACAAAATTACACATATAAATTGTAAAATCACAGATAAATTATAAATTTAAACGGGACACATTGTCTAAGGGGACAGTGTGTCTCCTGATGAAGTGTTGTTTTTGCTGACATACAGATTTTTAGGGTTTCGTTTTTCTTGTCTTTGGTTTCTAACTTTTTATTTAATTTTTTTACAAAATTAATTATATTCTAAAATTATTTTTGTGTTTGTACAAATATTGATTGTCTATGTGAAAACATAATTGGTTATACCTCTGTCTGTCAGCATTTTTAACTATAATAAAAAATTATAATTGTTTTTTAAATATATATAAGATGGTCCCCGCACCAATTAAATTTATCGGATGGAGCCAATGGAAATAACTTAAATATATTTTGTAACATGTCAGTAGAATTTTTGAGTGATAGACCTGGGAATCTACTCAGAGGTCTGTCTAGGTTTCTTTAAATGGTACCTATTTTGTGAAAATTTAGAAATAATTTGTGAAAATTTGAATTTATGTTAACAAATCAACAGAAAAGATAGTAAAATAAAAAAATATTCTCAAAAATTGTAACTACAAAAAAAAAATCTTTTATGACCGGTAAATTTCTAGATACAATATTTTTCCCATATGCTCAAAAGAATTTTGCTACTGGAAAATTTTGGGCTTAAAATTGTATCCAAATTTAAAAATCATTGTCCTTTCAAGTCGTGTGGGAAGCGAATTCTTTTACTATGTCATAATAGGAAACCACGGGTGGGTTCCATTGCAAATCGAAATGCGTATTTAACTCCAAATTTATAGTTTTTGAGTGGACACAACAAAAAAATTTAAAAAAGCAGGGGGGATTTTAGAACTTGCTTTTTTAAAAGTATTTTGTGAAACTATAATTTTTCTTTAAGTTGGATTTTAGAAGGTACCGTTTAATGGTAGTAAATTTGCCCTGGACAGACTCCTGCTACTAATTTCAAAAACAATCTAAATGGGTAGTATTAACATTATAAGAAAAGCATTAGTGATGGGAAAGTTAAAACAAACAGAAAAAAGAAAGGTGAGGGAACAATAAACAAGGTTAAACTTAATTAGGAAAGATTAAAAGTATATAAAATATTAAATTAAGTAACTCTACGAGTATCAAAAAATTTAGTGCAAACAGCCATTTCAATATTATAGGTAAGCATCATTGATCAAGTGTCACAACAGAGAATGATGCACTAGACATACAAATAGAGCCTTTTTTCACATTAAAAAAAATTAATATTAATGAAAATAGTGAAACCTGAAGAAACATGAGAATGCTAAAAACAATCTAAATAAATAATAAAATGAACAAGTGCTCACCTCACCAGGACGAATTTTGATGTAGAAATTGTTACGTTTGTATGAAATTTTCAGTATCTTAGGCCAAGCGAATCGATTGATTCTCAGCCGATCCCTGAACACAAGTAATCCCGAAGCACAGACACCTAACATAATTTCTACACCTTCAGAATCTTTAGCATCGTGAAGATCCACTCCGTACATGGCTAGTTTTTTGGCATTTTCTAAATAATGTAATTCTGACTCAGCTGGAGTTTGTCCCCTGAAATTAAGAAGATAAACTATTAAGACAATGCCAAACAATTGCATGAATATTGAAAGAAAAAGCAATACAATGAGTGTTTCTTTCAACTAGCCGGGGTGATTGTGACCCTAACTCAAAAATCCTGAAAATGTCCTGAGTAAAACTATTAGGGACGCATTTCAAAAAATTAATGTCCTTATAAATTTAAATCATTGATATTTTCAAAACGTGAAATTCTAAATAAATTAAATACAGTATAATTAAAATTATTAATTATTTATAAGTTTACTTTTATCTCTAATCACATTTATTATTCTACCAGAAAAAATATTTACTAATGAAACAGATGCGCCAAGCATAAATTCTAGTAGTTCTAATATTTGTAAATATAATATACAAGAATTTTTATACCTAAATGTGATCGATGATTTTTGCTTATGTTTTGTTTTTGTTTCATTCCAATATATACTCAAAAGTTATTGTAAGTGTTAGTAGTGCTTTTTTTCCTAATTTTTTCTTATTTTTTTGCTTTTCTACACATTGTTTACAAAAAATGATAATAACAAATGTTAGTAACCCGCCATGATAAATAATTCAGGCAATTAAAAAAACCTTTTAAAAAGTTTGAATAAGCAAAATTCCCTTTAAAATGGAGGATTGAGTAGATATTTTGCTTATAGTAGCTCATAATTTTCTGATAACTGTGTGATAACCATTTTACACAATAAAATATAGAATCATCTATCATCGTTGATGAATAAATCATCGCCATCTTGCTCAGGGTGCATAGCCAAATTTTTCAACAAAAAATAAGCCCCTTTTAAGCACTATATACATTAACAAAATGCAAAATAACGAAATGGATTGTGGACGAATGAATTGTGAAAACGTTGAATAGAACAATGTGAAAAGCACACTTTTGCATAATACATGGCAAAAAAGAAAAAAAAACTCCTTTTTGAAAATGGAAAATTAAGCACTTTTTAAAAACACCCAATGAAAAAAGCACCTTTAAGGGGTTTAAAAAACGGAAATAAGCACCTTTAAGCATTTTTTAAAAACGCTACGTACCATGTTGCATATTACTTTGTTCAAATGTTTTGATTATTACCTGTGCTGTCGATGGAGAACAGCAACTTTTTCCTCGAGCTCTGGAGTTTGATTGGGGGCAAAGCGAAAATCGGACAGGTAGTTGTCTGCGTGTTCTTCAGGGTCGTAGTCTCCGAGCTCTGATTGCACGAGATAGGATCCTAGGAGTGCGTAAGTTATAAATGAACATGGAAGTCTGCAACGAATCAGGCACAGCAAGGTTGAAGGAGGGAATAAAAAATGACAGACTAAACAGAAATAATTTTTAGATTCAATCTAAAACAAATTTTTTTCAACTCACTTTCCAGACAGAATATCATTCCGAAGTTGCAAACACAATAGGTACCTAGAATAGAAACAATGATTAGTTTAATCACAATCAGTTAGTAATTACAAAACTTTCATTTTTTCCTCCAATTGCAAAAGGAAAGTGACAAACTCTTACAGATTTATTCTGAAAAGAAAAATGTTCGATTTAAAAAGAAATATCATTGTTATATTATTTATCAGTCATTAGGTACTACTTAGTATAGAGTGACTTCACTAAATACAGGAAACTACGTGCACTTTGGACCCAGGACTTTCAAATTACCATGTCCTTTTTAAATAAAAGCATGTCCCTTCTTAAAATAACATAAATTTTTTAGAAACATTCTAAATTTCAAAAAATTATAAATTCTACATGAAGTAAAACAATTCAACACTTCAAAAATTTATAAAAATAAATTAATTAATTAAAAATAAAAACAAACGGGAAAAGTTGATGGAAAGGTGGTTTTGAAAATGGGGGGGGGGAAACTCACAAAAAATTATCTGTGATATTGAGTACAAGATTAATTCTCTATCTATTAATCAATCAAATAACATGAGCATTTTATAAGTATTCCTTCTATTAATAGACACAACAACGGATTTTAAAAAAAGAGAAGAGTTAGTTTTGAAATCAAACTTTTTATTAGAACTGATCAAACATTTGCATTGAGGAAATGCAGGTATGTAATTTGGTAATCAAAATCACTTTTTTTCTTCTTTTAGTTTGTTCAGAGAAAAGTTTTTTTCAGAGGCGCAGAAAATTCTCACAGCCTTATATATTCTCAGAACTTTTTTGTTGTTGTTAATATTTTAACCAACTTTTGAATAAACTAGCATGTGTTAAAAATTATATGAAATCAAAATATATTGGAATAGTAGTAATATATACAACTATACTTATGGAATTAAAGGTAATTAATGAACAAAATAATATATTAAGTTATTAGTGTTTAATTTAATACAACAGAAAATATTATTTTCCTTTTTAGAAAGTAGGTTGATAAAGCTTTAAAAATGCATATTTTAATATTTAAATGATAACTTACATATCTTACTGGTACAAAAATTAAATTTTTAAGTTAGCAAGAAGATTTAAAAATTGGTTGGAAATTTTTTTTTTTTTTTAATAACACTAAAAATTATCCCAATGGATCTATTTTACAAGAGCTTTGTTTATTGAATCAGGTATATTCCGCACTACTGGTTTGGTTTAGCTCTGCCTACATAAATCTCTGCAGGCATAACTTTTTTTTGACGGAGAACCAGCGAATGTTGTCCCAATTTTTTTTTACCCTCCCACTATGGTTTACGCTAATTTGACATGCAATAATAGCACATAAGTGAAATCACTGGCACACTATATTAAGGTTTTGACATAACTATACAACACTTTTTATTACTTGTTTAATTCAAATTTTCTATCAGGGTACGCAGCCAGATTTTTCAACAAAAAATAAGCACTTTTTAAGTACTCAGAAAATATTTTTAATCACTTTCCAAAAAAAAATTTATAATTAGGATCTGTGCAGTTATAAAAATCATTTTTTTGTATCATTTAAAGTTCTTAATTTATGAACTTTTATGTTCATAAATTAAGAACTTTAAATGATACAAAAAAAAAATTTTTATAACTGCACAGATCTTAATTATAATTTTTTTTTTGTTTTGGTTGTTGTTGTTGAAAAATATTTTCAATCAGTAAAATCAATAAAATTCAAAAATATTTTCACAAACTTCACATAATCATGATAAAATAACTAGTTTCTCATAAATATTGCAAAGAAAATTGTGAAAATCATGCATTTTTTGTAATTTAGAAAAACAATGAATACAGCAAAGAAAAAAAATATTTTTAAAAGATAGAAAATTAAGTTACTTTTTACAAACCCCAAATAAAAAAAAGCACCTTTAAGAGCTTTTAAAAATGTAAATCAAAAATAAGCTTTTTAAAAATGCTACACACCCAGTCTATGGTGTAAGCTTTTAAAATGAAATCAGGAAGACAAAATATTCTATATAAGGCATATTTAAGTTTCATCTTTTATAATAGTATAGTTTAAAAAGTATCTAATAAAATAATTTTTTATTATTTAATCAACTTAAAATAAATTTTTCAACAAAGGATATTTTTTGAACAGCATTCAATAAGTAAATTTAAATACTTTTTTAAAAATCTAAAATGTTCATTGAATGATAATTTAAAGAATTTGACAAATCTGTTTAAAGAAAAATTTGTGTGATGAATACTTTCAATGCATAATAAACTAAATGTAAATTCCTTTTTTTAAAAAAAAAAAAAATTCTCTAGTTCTCTTAAATTTAACTTTTGTTAATTTTCTATTTTTTGAATCAATATTAACTTTTAACATTCAATCAGCAAGATTAAATAGAAAATACCATTTTAGGACAAGTTCTTTAAAACAGTAATTAATGTGAAATATTAGGCTACGCGCAAACAGCTTTTTCGCTCGTCAATGAAATCGATGCCTCACAAAAACAAATTGAAAGAAATTTAATCCCACCACAAAATTTGTAGGCTACAAGTCGTTTGTGGTTGCTCCCTTTTACATGGTAGACTATACAGGATGGGGGATGGGACTGTGAGAGGACCATCCATAGGGTTAGCAAAGGAGATAAGGATTGATAAATTTATGAGGAATTAAAATGCAGAAAGCCTTATCCTAACAATTTGTTCTTTAGGAATGTAACATTTCTTTCAATTTGTTTTTGTGGGGTATCGATTTCATTGAGGAAGGAAAAAGCTGTTTGCACATAGCCTCTCAAATTATAGTCATTATAAAGACCAGTTTCTGGAAAAGTATTTATTTTGTAGAGCTTGAATGACTCAAGTGTATTTTTTGACAAAATAAGTAAGGGAATTGTTAATAAAATATATTCAAGAGAGAAAATTCTAAATTTTGCATACCTAGTTATGTCTTCTTGCAATTGAGAAGGATCTGGTGGATAAAATTTAACTTCAAAGCTAAATTCCCAAGGACCTCCTAAACAGGGCATAAAAATGATGCTTCAGAAAAATAAAATATGCATAACACAAATAATGAAGGAATTATGAACCAATAGAACAGCTGAAAATGCAAGTGGAGTGGGGAAAAACAATCTGATAGACTTTGCAACATTGACATAATATAAATTTTATCCAAACTATTTCACAATAAATGAAGAATTTCACATACAAGGTATTTTAAGAGTTTTATACAATTAATAATGGAAAAAAAGCTGTAAGGTTTGTAAAATAATAAAAATGTTATACAAAATATTGCAGAGTATGACAAATATTCAACACACAAAGAATATTCAACAATCATTAAAAGAATCTAGTAGACTTTGAAAATAAAAAGAAATGTTACATAAACTATTGTATAATAAAGAATATTTCACACAAATAATATTTTTTTAAAAAAACATTGGATAGAGTTTGCAAAAATAGAAATATTATTCAATATTATAGAAACGATTGCAATCTTTTCCATTCGTAATTAATACTAATGAGCTTGAATAGAAAAAAATTATTATGCACATCATATCTTAAAATTCATGACTTTTAATTAAAAAAGTCTCAATTTTAAAAAGTCTGGAATTATTAAAAAATATATATAATACCAATTGATATAGAAAAACTGTAATTATTACAAAAAAATTATTCACTTGAGTGGTCATTTAAAAGACAAGAATTTTTTTTTTTTACTTTTTTGAGCAAGAAATAAGAGCTGTTAAAATATTTGTTTTTATATATTTTGGGGATCTTGAAATCAGAAAAAAATATAAACCTAAATTCAGGTGAAACAAGCAAAATCAGATACAATTTAAAGCTATGCTACAGCATAGTAAGAAAAATAAATTTGTTACTTGCCTTTATAAAACTTCAGTTCTGCATGAAAGGAAAAAAATGCAAATAGTTTTAAAAAAAAGAATCAGAAAGGAAATAAATGAAACAACTAAATTTATTTGAATGAAAACTTTTAAACCTAATTAGTTTTTACTAAATTTCAATTTCCACCAATACTCTCTAGTTTAACTCTCTACATGTTATTCTTAGCATTTTTAGAACTTTTAAAACTGGTTTTTCACCATCATAAAACTAGGTTTTTGTCTGCCTATGTTGGAAAACTATAGTAGGAAATGGAAAAGTAGTTAATGGCAGATAACTTTCAGTATAATATATCCAGGGATAGTATAATATATTCAGTATAACATAGTATGTTAGAGGAATTTCTTCAATGACTACAAATTTTTTCATTTAGCAGTGCATGGTTCCCTGGACTGCTAAAACATCCAGTCTTGAGGCTGCTTTTAAAAAACTCTTTAATGAAAAGAAATAATAAATTTTAGTGAATAATGACTACTATAATCTTATAACAACAGAAATATAATTAAACTGCCTTGATTATTCTTGCTAATGCTCACTATGCTAAAAATGAAAATGGTACAAAACTGCAATATCAAAAAAGTCCATTGTTTTTTTTAAAAATGAAATTAATTTTTCAATACATTAAAAAGCTGTATTGTTTGGGGTTTATAAATAGGACGAAAATTGAAAATTATTCATTTATTATAATAATTTTTATCAAATTAAAAAAGAATCTTGCCAAATAAATTTGATGCTTTCTTGTTTTTTTAAATAAAGAAAAAAAAATTTGTGGATATTTTTAATATTTTTTTCACTTTTAAAGTCTAATTTTTTTCAACAAAAAATTATAGTGAATTATAGAAAAATAAGAAATTATAATTACTTAACTAATTTATTGATTAAAGAGAATTAATCATAACACCATTAATATATAAATTTGAGAGTGCTATGGAAATAAAATTACTCTTTACTTCAATGGCACTCAGCTGTAGCATATTAATTTAACTAGCAAAAGAGCCTAAAATAAGCGACTATTCAAAAAAATTATTTTCTATTTACTCATTTGTCTTACTGATAAGATTTATAAAAATATATTAAATAAAAATACTACATTAAATAAAAAATGTATTAAACAAAAAATATATTAAACAAAAACTTTATTAAATAGAAAATATTTTAAATATAAATACATTAAATAAAATGCTACTTGCCTCTGACTTGCTTTGAAATTCTTTTTTCATAATTCAACCAATTCTGTTAAAAATACAAAAATGTTAAAAAATTTTATAAATTGGTTATTATACAATGATAACATGTGCATAAAAGTTTGTTTGAAATTTTTTTTAAAGAATAAACGGAAGATTTGGTGTATTCTCAGTCATTTAAAAAGCTCCTCATACTTTTCAAGGACAATTTTTAAAAAAATTAAATATTATATCCTAATTCATTAATTGAAATATTTTTTTTTTCATAATAAATCGACACAGGACACATTTGTAATTTGTCCCCACAAAAATTTTATTAACTTAGACGAGCAAAGCTTGATACAATAATAATCAGTACAGAAAACAATAATAATACAGTCGAACCTCATTAAGGTGAACACGTTTAACATGATTTTTTTTAAAGAGAACTAATTTCCGATCCCCCGTCTAATTGAATACGCATATAATGCTTCAAAGTACTTTTAACGTGAACTCGAATTTCATTACTCTTGGAAAAACTTTTACTTTGAATGTGGACTGAAAATTTATTTCCTCTCTTACCAGTAAGAAAATTGATCATTCACAATTTTATATCAACAAGGGAACGCATTTCAATGATTTGTTGTAGTTTTAATAATTAGTTTATGCTTGGTTATATTAGTTGAATATGTTGAAAGGAGGTGACATTGCAGAACACAATACAAGCCTTTTTGTATTCTTAATAAGACTAGAATTTTCTTTACCTCATTGGGGGAGGGAGATACCTGTTAAGTATGTTTCCAAGAGAAATGACCATCCATATTAATCCTTGATTGATCCAATTATTTTGTTAATAACCCTCTCTAACTGGTGCAATAAAAGAAGTTTACTTTTTGAATTTTGTCTAATAATATATTTTTCTTCCTTTCTAAGCTTATAACATTTATAACTTTGTTTTATTTTTTTTTAAGTAATAAGTTGTAATTATTATGAAAATATGTTAAACAGTTATTAATTTACATATTCATATTAGAAATTTACACTTAGAAAACACAAATAGATATAATAAAGAATGTCTGCATATTGTATGATTTTCATAGAAAAAATCTGCACCGATAATGTGAACTACTTTAAACGTGAACAAATTTTCTGTCCTCCCTCAAATTCATGTTAACAAGGTTTGACTGTATTTATAAAGTACTCCACAAAGAACAGCAAGTTAACGCAAGTTTAATATTTGCAGATCCCCCTCACTAGTTCATTCTTAAATAAACTGGTTTTAAATAATTTAAATACCTTTTTACCCTTCCCAAATTCAATTATGATTGAGTAATGATTAGTCCTACATCAGAAATGTTTATGGAGAAATCTTCAGAGGAAGGTATTGACCCACATTGGACTGTCTGGCCAACTATGATGATGAGTGGTTAGTCCTTCCAATATAAATAATAATTCGTGATTAGTGTTTCAGTGATTAATTTTTCAGTGGTGAAATGCTAAAAATTCCAATATACTTTTTTTTCTTTTAAGAATAACATGAAGTGTTATAGAAACATCTGTTTGGAACTGCATTTGGCTTAGAATTCTGTAGCTTATAACCATTTTAAAACAGAATTGTTTCTAATTAATTTAAATTTACAACATAATTAAAACAACAAAAGGGGCTAGTTAAACAATTCTTTTGAATTAACTACAATATCCGGGATGGAAAGAGTGATTAAGGATGTGTGACTAGTTTTGGTATTTTGTGTCAAACTTTCCTGCAGTGTAACAGCAGCAAGAAATGACATTGCACACAGAAATTCTATTTTTCAACAAGCTTTAAAAGAACAAAAAAATTTCAATGCATAAAAAAAATACAGAAATAAGCAAATTTAGCAATACATAAAAAAATTTTATGACTATGATGAATTTGATAAAAATTTTAAATTTACTCACCCTACTTCCATCCGGATCCCGAAATGTTATTCCAAAATAGTCTTTTTCTAATAAATTCAAATGGTCTGCAATTAGTAAAGCTAACTCCAAACCTCTGGAAGTTCTCTAAAATCAAAGAATTAACATTTTGTAAAGGAAAAATTATGAGGACATACATTTTAAAACATTTTCATAAACATGTGTTTAATCAAATAAGCAAATTAATTTTGAGGTGCATTTTTGCAAAGAATATTATTCCACATTAACCCATCTTAGGCCAAAGGTGCGCAAGCGTACCATCTCAATAAATATTTTTTATTAACACTGTGACATGTATTTTTCACTAATTTTATTTTTTTGCTGATGTCAAAGGTTCTGAAGACATCCATTAGTAATTCAATTCATTAGTAATTCAATTGGAAAAATCACTTTCTGTTGAGAAATTTTTAACAATAAAATTTTTTGAACTTAAAATGGTTATTGACAAATGAAATTTTTTGAAAATGTATAATTATTCCTTTTGAGATTTATCATATGTTTTTATGATGGATTAAAGTTGCAAGTCAGTAAATAAGAAAAATAATAAAACAAATTTCATAAAAAAAGCAAGCGTTCAACTAAATGGTTTTTTCATTGATTCGGTGAATGTCGCCTATATGCAGCATTTTATTTCTTAAATGAAATATAATTTCTCATACACAAATTTTTTTTTTTTTTTTTGCATCTTAATGTAAGTAATGTAAGCATATTTCAATGAGAATAATGCCACATTTTATAAAATTTCTATGCTTGGCCTAAAATGGGTAAAGGACAAAACATGCATGTTTCCATAAGGAAATAGAAAAATCATTTTAATACACAATTTTTGTAAGGATGACAAGTTTCCACAGAGGGAAAAATTTGAAGAGTGTCCTTTTTTACATAAAGTTATTGACCTTAAATTATTTAGTATATTATTACCCTGGGCACATCCGTTTTCGGGCCAATCCAAGGTAACTAACAAATCAAAAGCACTTTAGTACTGCAGTAAGAAAGAGACATATTTAAAGTTCCTACTCGATTTATAGATTTAGTTTTGTGTGTTGTTCTGTATTTTCTGTTTTTGCTTGAGAAGTATTATTTCGTATATATTTTTTACTTAAGGTGTTCTATTTTTTTTTTTTTAATATTTTTTTAGTGCTCCTCACACTATTGTATTAATGTATCTCACTTTGGCCATATTAATGCAATATTAAAAAGCACTCCTTTTTGCGGATATAATTGTGTGAGCTGAAGAACAAATTATATCTTTTTATCATTTTGCATTCGGGCTTTTTAATATTCATTTTAAAATATTTTTTTAAAATATTCTTTTAAATATTTTATTTTTCTTCTTCTCTTTTCATTAATCTTTCTTATTTTCCATGTTTTCTCTAAAAAGTAGAGCGTAAAATATAATGCGTGTAACTAGTTAGTAAAAGTAACACATAAAACATTTAATGCACATGTAGTCACACTCACACCATAAATAAAAGTAAGCATAATAGCGCACAGAACTAAATTTTGTAATATAAGAAAATACAAAATATCACATCAAAATATTTAAGGCTTAAAAGTAATGCATAAAAAAAAGCAAACACTTAAAAGCAATGCATAAAAAGTGAACGAGTAAAAGGAAGGCATATGAAACAGAAGAAAAAGTAAATTGTTACTCATCCATATGTCGTAAATATATACATATTTACACTATGAGGAAAAACTTTTATTCACATTGTAGAAAAAAAAGTCCAATAAAATTTTATAATTCTTTGTTAAAGCTTGTTGGACAGTATTTTTGATACTAGGCTTAATTTTATTCTCTGCACCATAAATAGAAATATCTGACTAACAAAATTATAATTAATGAGTAATGAGAGAAAAAAAGAGTTTTTTAATGGTGAATAAAATACCAACATCGAGGTCGCTCTCAAAATCTGTTCCATCCAGCATCCTAACTCTGCACTGTATTTTCTTGGAACGATTCACACTTTTAGTTCGCTTCTTGTGAATTTCATAGTGTGGTTCATAGTCATTGATGACGATTCCACTCTCTGTGATGGGAAGGGAGGTGTCCATGGGATTGCTGCGAATATCCACCATGCTGAAGGCCTAAAGTAAAGAAGAAAATAAACCATTGGTGCAAATGCCAGAAATTCAATCACACACAATTAAGTCCATTAAAAAATATCTACACTTTATGGGTTTTTACTTATTCAGAGAAGATTAATTATTTAGTGAAGGAAATTTTTCTGAAAAACTTTTTTTTTTAAATTTCCAATGGCAGATCAGAAGACAACTGTAGTTAAAAAACAGACATGAGAAACAGAAGGAAAGATGAACAATACAACAAAAACAAAACTACAGTGAGTCTATAGATCGTTCATTTTGTGACGGGCTCTCCAATACTTCTCCCCCAAATGTCCCGAGTTTAGTGCGGGGCAGTGCCTAATGTGGTTTAGGTCCATTTCTTCTTGGATATTACACAGTGTGCAAATAGGGCTTGGTAATATATTTATACGGAATAGATGTTTGGAAAGGCAGTCGTGGCCAGTAGCGAGGCGAAATGTGGCCACAGACCTCTACCTTGGCCATAGTGGAATATTCTTGATTTTTCTAAAAAAAACTACAGAATAAGATATTTAAAAAAAAAAAAATTGTTTTTGTTTGTATCTTCTATTTTTATAGCATCTTTTTCTCAACGTTAAAGAAATAAGAAGAAAAAAACAGCGGCATTGTATTTTATTATAAATAGGGTTCGCATCGGCAATGAAAATGGAGTGGTCTAACTTTTCCTATAAATCTATTTTTTCATGACCAAGAAAATGACAATGACTCAAAATAAAATCGTTTGCAAAGAATCATGTACCTTTGATGACAATTTTGAAGTCAACGCAGGCAAACTTTAAGAACGACCAGTCTTCATCAACGACCTTTTTACGGTGCAACGGAGAGGTTTCGCTGTTCTTAGAAAAACTCTTACCATTATTAAACTTCCTTTCTCTCTCTCTCTCTCTCTCTCTCTCTCTCTCTCTCAAAAAAAAAAAAAAAAAAAAAAAAAAAAAAAAAAAAAAAAAAAAACAAAGGCTATCGCGTGGTATTTGATTTGATAATTGTAGAAATCGTTTATTTTTCCATCAGGGCGCGTAGCCAAATCTTTCAACAAAAAATAAGCACATTTTAAGTACTTTTCAAGCACTCGAAAAATATTTTTAAACACTATATACATTAATAAATGCAAAATAATTTTCAAAGATTTAGCATGATTATGATAAAATAACTAGTTTCTGACAAAGAACTCTTTTCTTGATTGTATTAGCCATTATAAAATAATCAAGCGATTTTTCGGTTCGATATCAGAGGGTGGATAATGAAGCCTGAAATTGAGAATCTATAGTAAAATGCAGCAGAGTTGCACATTCGAGTGCAAGAATCTCACCGAACCCAGCTTCAATCTTTATTTGGTGACCCTATACATCACAATCTTTTAAAATTTATCAAAGCCATAGGACTTTATTCTCTGCTTTAAAAAATAACACCTTAGTTTAACCTTGTGACCCAATTTTAACCTAGTGTCTGGCGTAGTATAGCCTTTTCTGGCTCTTGCGCCAATAAAATCCAACCAACTCACCGAACCCAGCTCAGTGACGCGCATTTGGTCTCGCTAATATTTCATCAAACCTGTAAAATGATCGGCGCTTTCATACGCTATGGACCAATTGTACACTGAAATGCGGTGGAATAAATTGTGAAAACGTTAAATAAAACAATGTGAAAAGCACGCTTTTGCATAATGCGTGGCAAAAATTGACATAGTAAAGAAAAAAATATCATTTTCGAAAAGGGAAAATTAAGTATTTTTTAAAATCACCCAATGAAAAAAAGCACCTTTAAGGACTTTTTAAAAACGGTACGCACCATATCTAATTTTTCATGTCTGTACTTTTTAGAGTAATATTTTAAAATATATTTTTCTACGTTTTAGAACATATTTAATTCTGAACTTGCTATCTCGAAATTTTTTATCGTCCCTTCAATTTTGAGACATCGAGAATATATTGTATTTTAAGTCATTTAGTGCTTACATTAGTTCAAACAACATTTTAAAGTACTTGGGGTGCAAAGAATTAAAGAACAAAAAAAAGCAAACGATCGTAAACACTTTTCAGATTACAGACTATAATATCTTCTTTTTCCTGATGAATTGGTAATGGACATTCGAAACCCCGTTTGGCACTGAAAGGAAAAGAGTGCATTATAACCCTGCATTTTTAATCATCCATCATCACAGGTACACCTGCCGTATGCGATGACCATAAAAATCACTCTTCGCCCCAGGAATCGAACATGCCAACGCCCAATTCTGGAAGATCGCCTTCAAGAAATGGAAGACATTAATTCGGAAGACCATCTAAGACACGCCACAAGACTCACGCAAACATCTCCGCCTACTTTTACGAACGCAGTATAAAAAATATATCACCTGACTATGAATGTGTATAAAAAGCGTCCTTTTTATATGGGTCGTTAAGTCCGTTGTTTTCCAAGTAAATGATGTCTATCTGTGCTGGGCATTTATGATTATTAGCGTGAAAGGGAGAAAGAATGTAAAGTTAACAATGGCAAAAAAAGTCCTTTAATGTTTGCTTGAAAGGGTGAGAAACGCTAACAAAATATTTAAAAAAATATATTAATAAAATCAATCTAAATATAATGAAATAAAATCATTTCAAAATTTGTTAATGTTAGTGTGAGTTTTTAAACAGGAGATGTAGAGTTCTTGTTTCGATAGAGATGGCTTCCAATAATATATAAAACCGCCGTTGAACAGTCGACCCAATTTCGGGTTTACGACTACTAAGGTTCAACTCTGTAGCCTTGTAGTTTTGAACCCGATCCAAAAGACAAATGAACTCCTGGATCAAGTATAGGGAGAAATCTGCCTTCGTGGCGGACTTTTTGATGGAACTAATGCAAAAACCACGAGAATCTCCCACGGTTAGCCTAACGGCAAGAGGACTCTTAACTCATGATCCGTCTACCACTGAGGATATTATGTCCGACCTCGTGAAGCTAAATCAGATTTATCAAGGCTTAAGATTTCGACTAGCGACTATCACGGCGAGTTTTTCGAACACCTATTATTTTCCATGTTTTCTCTATATTTGTAACTTCAACACACACACACACACGCACACACACACACACATAGATAGATAGATAGATAGATAGAGAGAGAGAGAGAGAGAGAGAGACGCACGCACGCACGCAGGTTTCATCATATTTGTTAATTAGAGGAAGAATCATCTTTTTTTTCAAGTTGTTTGAAACTCATGTGTGTGTCTCTGCATGGTTTGTTACAAATTACTCCCCATCAAGCAGTTTCCTAATAAGAAAAAATATTTTTTTAAATCACCCGCAACGCAAAATGTGGCTTGATTACTAACGAAGTGAGAAAGATTGCGCAGTGAACAAAAATTCTTGAAACAGGCCTTTCCACGCACCAATTATACCCATACTTATCCGACTTCCGACTTACAATCTATTATACATTTGATGTCATGGCAATTCAACATTTAGACCAACTTGGTCCGAACATCAAGGGGCAACAATCTTTAAGGCGTAAAACACAAATATACGAGAAAAATGACACTCTTAAACACTACTTTTTTTTTTGGATAAAAAAAGAAAAAAAAAGTTTTTTTTCTTCTTTTTCATATCATCAGAATATCTCTTTTATTAAACACACTAAGAATAAAAAAATAAAAAAAAGAAACAAGACGAGAAACAAATTGCGTTTAGTAATTGCTTCAACTTAATGAAGGTTGCTAAGCCGGTTAAACATTCATTCCACATTTTGAGAAGAAAGAGTCAAGTAAAATCCATCCTCAGTGGACTCTCGATTTTGACAGATCTAATCTTCAAACCCATTTATGCGACAGATATTAATTAGCAGATGACAACGGGGCTTATCTGTCTGGGGGTCACTTTCAAAAAGGTTCGTGTTGGCCCAGAGCCAGCCGAGACCGGACAGCGGTAGGGTTGGGACACACAAAACAATTGTCCGGGTAGCTAATCAAGGTTATAGAGTCGCTCCTTCAATTGAACCCATCAAATTCAATAGGATAATTTTCTATAGCTTTTCAAAAGCCGCCATTATGCAACCCTTTTTAGATGTATAATGTAACTCAGAACAAGTAATATAAAAAATAAAATAAAAAGTCAATTCCTACTTAGGGTCAACAAAGAAATTTTTTATTTTAGTAACTTTATTAAATAATTAAAAAATTTTCTCCCATATAAAACTGAAATTAATTAAATTTAATTAATGAATTAATATTTGAAAAATCTGGATTATCATTCACTACAAGTTTTTTAAAAAAAAAATTTTTTGAACTGGAGATGAAAAAAAAAGTATTTTATTAACGATCGAAAATTTGAATAAGATATATGGATATAAATAGGGAGAATGTGAATTAATAATAGGAATTGAAACAAAAAGGCAAAAAAAATATATATAAATTTGGTGACGTGAACCACACGTGCTACCACGTCATGTTCTTTATGGAATTTATCTGACACAGCGAATATAAAATAATTAAAGATTTAAATGTGAGCAATAAAGTATTTTTTTTTTTTGTTCAAATGGAGCTATAAGTTAGAAATTATCTCTGATATTTTTAAAATATGTAAAAAACTGAATGGCTTATAGTAAAATTTAAAACAATGACTCACGCTTAACCCATCAGAAAATTCCATTTCGTTTTTTGCTCATCCCTATTTAATGAATGAATAAATAATTGAAAAAACTGTATGAACATCATGTGTCATCTACTACAAGTTCAAAAAAAAAGTGTATTTGAACTTGAGTTGATGAATAAAAAGTATTTTATTAACGATTGAAAATTTGAACAAGATATAGGGAGAGTGTCAACTAATAGTAGGAATTTAAACAGATTTTTTTTTTACTCAATCTGAGACAGTAATCTGCCAACTATAGTTCTAATTGCAGTCAAGAACTAGAACTGTTATAAATTTTGTTCTCTTCCAATAACGTAAATGTTACTTTCATTTGTTTATAATTTATACTTTTTTTTGTCGAAATTCTTTTG